GGGAACTTAGTGACATGGAAGAGTAAGAAGCAGACAGTGGTAGCAAGAAGCAGTGCAGAGGCTGAATATAGGGCTATGGCTCACACGACATGCGAACTGGTGTGGTTGAAGCATCTACTAGAGGAGATGGGATACTCGATTGACACTCCTATGAAGCTATACTGTGATAATCAAGTTGCAGTTCATATCTCCTCTAATCCAGAGTTTCATGAAAGGACGAAGCACATAGAAGTGGATTGCCACTTTGTATGTGAGAAGGTGCTTAATGGAGTGATAAGTACAGCATATGTGAACATAGGAAATCAATGGGTAGATCTGTTTACCAAAGGGTTGAATCGAGGAAGAGTGGACTACATATGCAACAAGCTGGGACTATATGACATATACTCACCAGCTTGAGGGGAAGTGTTAGAGTCGACTGTACAAGGGTAGTACAGTCCTTTTATGTTTAGTTATATATGTACTACTCAGCTGATGTGGCTCTCACTTAAGTGAGGGCACAATGGTAATCCTTGTATATCTTAGAAGAGTATAAATAAAAGAAGGGTCGACTAGAGGGATTTGATTTTTTTCTCTCTAGTTCGGCTGTGACCTTTTCTCCTTCTTTTCCTTTTCCTTCTCTTTCTTCTGATCTGAACATATACGAACATCTAATCTGAGTTTTATCAACAATCAATACTGCTAGTCTGCTACCAGTGAACTTCTCCCCTTCGTCCTCTACAGATTGATTTTTAATTTCTCTTCTGTCTCTCAAAATCTGTTCTCAACCTTTTTATTAATTTTCAAGACTCCTTTTTCTAAAAGACATTCCTTGTCTCTTAACAACCAGTAATTTGGATAGCCTATTCCGATCTCCCCTCTTATTAAAACTAGACCTCTTGTGTCAATCCCCTCCCGGTTCACCATCCAAATTCTTGACCCCAGATGACTCTTCCACTCCCTTATTCATGGTTTTTTCCTTCTCTCTCCCTGGCCCCACATCATTAACCTTTTGACCCTCTACATGTCCTATCAACCCCTTTTGAACTTTATCCCCAAAGCTTTCCAAAGCCAACAAACCAACATTAGAATTCGAAGCATCCTTAGATTGGGACCCCTCAACTCTTAAAAATATCCTTAGGGGCGCTAATACCCAAAATTCTAGAACTACCCTCGCCTTCAACCTCTGAATTCTCCAAGTCAAATAGACTGTTGGACTTCCACTTTGTAACATCAGTCTGCAGGACTTTGCTATTATTCTTCCCCCACAACCATATTCCCCACCCATATCTCCGGATACAAGCCCTCAATCACAAGTCTCAAATCATATGTCTCTCCCGCTAATCTCAAAGGCAATGAGGAAGGCACTAGATGGATTTCATCCATTTCAACCAGGATATGCGTGAAAACTAGATTCCTCCAGGAGCTTGTTCTTGGATCGGCAAATCTGAATCCGCCACATGCTTTACCCACAGCTTCAAAAGTTTGGAAAGACCATGCATGGAGAGGAATGCCAAAAACATTAATCCACACCAAGCTTGTTAGTCCAACATCTCTGATAGCACCATCCAGCGGATTCCATCTTCTAATCCTCAGATCAGGAGACCAGAACTTTTATGTTCTCAAAGCAAAATATTCTTTGCCTCCTCATTTTCGAAAATGAACAAAAAAAATCCAGCGCTCAGTTTCCTCGCTTGGAAAAAGCCATTTGGTTTCCACTCAGAAACTGCCCACTTCTTCACATTTTCCTCATTTGGGTCTGAAATAATGAATTGTGCCACCAAACTCAGCCTCCCATACACACTCTCGTTTGTACTCACATGCACCTCCATGTTATTTTAAATAGATTGGATTGGCAAAACAGGATTCATGTAGCTGACTCCATATAGTTGGGATAAGGCATCGATGATGATGATGATTGGATCAACTTGACTATGTCGGATTGGATCAACTTGCCCAAGGCCTCAACCCTACCCAAGGTCAAGTCAGGTTCATGTTTAACTTAAAACTAAACTTTTGGGTTGGGCTTGAGCTAACCCATCCCAATTTGCACCCCTACTCATCTAGATATATGCAATCAACCAACCTTCTTAAATCCTTATGTCACCTTATTTCAGGCTACCTTCAGCAGTACACTACTACCACAAAGAAAATAAAATGTTTTCCTGTAAACTTTTCTCCAAACGGAGTCCTATAACTCCTCCCTTAGTTTTAGATGGAAAGCCAAATATACGTTAATCCCACAACCATCCTAAAATCTTCTCCACCTATCTGCCATCAACTCTCGTGCCTAAATATATCTCCTATTTAGTTCTCTAATCCCCCCCTTCCTTTTCCATCTGAATTCCCTCATCAAAATATTTCGCAATTTCAAACAATTACTTAAATTAAGAATTTTAACTAGTTTTACCTTCCCCTTGTACTTGAAAGATTTGGTGAGTTGGATGGATGATTTAGAAGGAATGCATACCCGGAGATTCTACAAACCAAAAAAACCATCAAAATCAACCCTAGCATTACTAGAAACTCCAATAAAAGGGGAATCAAAGTGAACTACAAAAGAATCTCACCCTTTCACTAACTCTAATGGACCAACCCCCAAAAACATGATGAAGCCAACAAGACAACTGAAATAAGTTCTGTTCAGTTATTGTTATAAAAACTTTATTAGGAAAAGGGCAAGTTGTTTCTGGCTTGATACAAAGAAAGAAGTTTAGGAAGATTTTTTTTCCAATAAGGGAGGTGGTCCACCATTAAGGTTTTGTCCCAAGCCATTGATCATTAGCTATTCCCTTGGAAGTAGACCTGTTCGCAAGTCGGGCTTTGCCTCTTTATTAACAAAAATGTCCAGGCCTAAGCTATAAAGAGTGGAGACTAGAGGGGGAGAGAGAGAGAGAGAATCTGATGGGATGAGTCACTGCCAGCCACTGGGAAGGGAAGGGTCGAAGGGATTAGGGATAGGGAACCAATTGGTTGGGAATGATGGGAAGTTGGGAACCATCAAAGGGACTAAGGCATGAAGGGGCCTAAATAGTAAATTGGTATTTTGTAATAATTTAATAAACTAATACACGTTATATATACTTATTATATATTATTAGAGTTCAACTACGATGCATTCACTAATATTGGCTGCACATTAAATCCAAATATCAACAAATCATGTTAAAGTTTACTTACTTTTTATTCGTTCAAAGAGTACTTTCACATGTAACAAGGTGTAGTTACCGTCATGCAAGCCCAAGCACACGGGGCTCAAATAATGTCCAAGCCCAATAAATAATGGTTAGGATGGGCAAGCCAGCCGGGTTACCATGCCCATGAACAGGTTTACTTGGAAGGAACTAAAGTCAACAGATCTTATGGGAAAGAAAACCAGAATCAAGGCCATCCTCAAGATAGGCATAGAACAATTGCACCATGATTAAGCAAATAAGAACAAAAGCTTTTTTTTTTCATTTTGAGTAAAGGTAAAGTATAATTTATATTAATAAGTATAAAATGAGAGACCCCCTTTCTGGGGCAATAAGAACAGCCTCACCATTGAGAAGAAGAAATTTGCTGCACATTGAAGGTAGTAAGAGGGCATGGGAAATAATAGAAGGGGGTATAGTTAAGATAGTGAACAAAGACTTATTTGAAAGGGTATAGGTGAACGAAAAGGTGGAAGAAAAGAATTGGGATACCAGCCCCATTGGTTACAATGACATTAGTTTACCAATACAAGGTTAATTTGATTCACTGCCATGTCATTTTGTTGCACATTTGAAAGGGGTGTACCCACCTGCAAGACCAAAAATAAGAGTTGCCAGCATTCCCAGTTCATAATCATAGTTCCCTTCCTAAATATCAAAGGCAACCACTTCTTACTTCTAACTCTCTCATAGCATTCCAGATCAATTTAAGTCGTTACCATTAATGAGAGAAACTACACAAGATGGTGAATAGGCCCCTTCACCAAATATCATTTTGAAACAACCATCCACCCCTCCATACAAATCCATTTTAAAATCTTGGATAAGGAATGGAAAAATCTCCAAACCTTCCTTCAACAGCCAATGACCATTGTTGAAAATCAAAAACCATCTTATTAGCAAGCTTTCCTTGTATTCCTGGACCTACTGATTTACAGCAAATCCCTCCAACAGAGTTCATCCATATTGTCTAAGCCTTGGACGTATTCTGCAGAAAGTTTGAAACTGTGTAGACAGAGCTTTTATGGGGTTAGGTGCCATCAAAGGTGATAGATTTTGATGGATTACCTTCCAATGGAAGCCCACATATTTTGCGGAGAAATTCAATTTTTCTCATCTCAACAAATAGCCCTGCCAATCATTTCCTCTAAATCCACAATTGCAGCAATACAGCTTTTATTCATATTGATTTTGAAACCTAAGAAATATTCAAAACATTCAACTATTTCCTTCAAATTGTTAACATAATTTCCCTCATCCTCACAAATTATGATGGTGTCAACTGCAAATTGAAGATGAAACATAGAAATTATCTCCCTTCTCACCTTACACTTTGTAATTAACCCCAACCAATGCCTTACACAATACTCAAGAATTCACTAAAGAGACCCAATTGATGTTATAGAGGATGATCTTGCTTCTAATCCTAATCCTCTCTTAGATAGGAAGAGGTACTTTGTGATTCCATTTATAATGATAGAGAAATAGGAATAAAAGACAATTTTTATTCTATTATAGCGTACTGCGTACAAGATGCTTTTTCATGCTTCTCCAAACATATTTTGTTCCATTGTAGCTGAACTACAGAATTTTGCACTTTGATATCTATTATATTATAAACAAAGAGTGAGAAGTGTCTGCGCAGCTAAAAGTTCACCTAATTGATACCATAAAGCTAATAATATCTATAAAGCTTCAAAACCTCAAATGTCCAAACTTCAATCTTTCAACCCCAACACAAATGCACCATAAATAATATGTCGTCATTTTCCTAAACACCAGAAGAAGACTTTGCAATAATAGAACTGAAGTACTAGAGAGAATAACCTTCATAGTTTCTTCTTGGATTTGCATGTGGAAGTAGAGACTCAAGATGCCTTACAGGACCCCATAACCTTCTATACATTGGGCCCTGCATAAGAGAAAGAGGGAAATAGTGAAAACCCAGAAGAATAGGTAAAAATAAAAAGGACAAAAGGAAGACTAGCAAAGATCTCACAGGAAAAAACAGGTCAATTGGAAGTGGAAGACGATATAAAAGGTGGTGGTTACATTCAATGACCACCCAAATGTAATTGATTCAGAAAACCCACCAACAGAAAACAATGGAATATACAGAATAAATATAAATCAAGCTTGTTCAGATGAGCATACGAGGATATATAAATTTTCTTCGTTGACTGTAGAATAACAATAAAAACAAAAAGAAAAAAGAAAGAACATCTAGAAGCAGTCACAAGTAAGTACGCACTGAAAGCCTCACAACCCCATCACAAACGATCAAACTGAATAACTAGAAAATGACAAGCAAAAACAGAAAAGACGAAATCTTGGTGGGTCTTTCTGCACATTACACTTCTAGCAAGATCCGCGTTATCGAATATGGGTCTCCACTGGAAGATAGTAATGGAAGGCTCGTAAACAGAAATGCTCCTCCCGGTGTATCTAGCGAGCAGAAAATGAGTAAACAGAGAGAAGGCAGAGAGAACAAGCCCAACCAGACCAACCCATTTCATCCTAGACTTCAAAACCATCTTCTTTTCGCCTTTCATGGCGACCCGACATCTAATGACATCAAAGCGCAAAGAGAGACAGCAGAAGATTCACTGTAATGCGAGAAATTTTCGCCATCTCTACCCAACAATCTAGAGTAGAGCTTCAAAACATGAAAGATGAGGACTGGCCGACTGGGGACGGAGTAAAGAAAAGTCAAAGAGAAGACGACACGTGTGAGAACATGTCTTGCGAAGGCCTCACTCTGCGGAAGTCGAGTTGGAAAGGCAGCAGCACTGCAGCAGCCAGACATCTTGCACATTCTTAAATACGAGTAGACATTTCCTTTGATAGAAAAAGGTTTTCTGAACGGGAACTTATTTCCTGGACTATCTCTTGTTTTCAGCCAGAGACTAGCCACATGGGAGTGTAGCGGCAGTCCACCTAAGCGGCTAGCTAGCCAAGATTGTTTTCTTCGCTGCACGACCCGTCTAGCAAATCGGTCTCACTTTCCGAAAGGAAGGGTCACTATAGTTGGATTTTTAAAAGGGAAAGGAACAGTAGGCTTTAGCAAATAGCAACTACCATATATGCTGCGACTTTATCTCATGGTGGCTTCCATTTTCATGAAAGAGTGAAGAAGAGAGAGAGGTCTGTATAAGCTTGAAATGTTAATTCGTAGGAGTTGGGACTGGATGTAAAGTAAATGGCTTTAATAGAAAAAAATGTGGATTCAATGTTATTATTGGGAGAAACATAAGGAAAAAGACTTTTCTACTTTCCAATGACAGAAGGTACATCTCTAGAATGGTTTATATAGAGATAAAAATATTGAGGATTAGTTCAAGCCATTCATCTCAAGGTGGACCAGGCTCTCTGAACCATTCACATGTACAGTGTCATAGAATGGGCCCAAGTGTTCAATCCATTAGCTTCTGGTCCTTCTCTCATAATGAACAGCTGAGATTCTAAATCTTTCTTTTGTTCTTTATTGCCATGTATTTATGGTGTTTTGGACCTCGAATTTGCCAGATTGATAGAAAGAGGAGAAGTAACAAAGGCTGAACAGCCTGAACTGGAGAGTGGAAATTGCTCTGGGAAACTCTTGAGAAGTCTGAATGAAGCAGATAAAAACAGTTCAAAACACGCATTGGTGGTTGAGGGCCTTGAGGCTGGCAAATAAGTGTACTAGACTGAATACATAGTCTTTCACATTACCCTGCCAAATGCCTATTAAATGCGCTTCTGTAAATTTCTAACCACCAAAACCCCTTTTTAACAGACAGCATTTCAGTAGAAACGGTAACTCATAACTCAAAAAGGATAAATATCAAAGTGGGTAGTTGAAAAATCAAAAAATTACCCTCAGAAGAGTTCTAGGAATAATAGCTTTGTAATTGCATCTTAATGTGCAAAGAGGCTGTCAATGCAGGCCATGTGAATATGGTTTTATTTATGGAAGAGTCAGTAATCTTGGGCCCAAAATCTTTGAAATCTTCTTCTGCATTTCTGTATTTGGTTTTATTTCAGTCATCTAATAGAATCGGATTTAAATCAGGGTATATTCGAATCCAGTCCAATGAACTGTAGGTCCACTCCGATCTGATCGGGTCTCACAAATATTGATCTGGATTCGAATCTACTAAGGATGTCGGATACCCAAATATCATTCGATCTAAATTAATTTAAAAAAAAAATAATACAAAAACAAAAAATAAAAATATTTTTCAACTATTTTTGTCATATATATACATATTTTTTATAAAAAAATTATAAAAATGCAATATAAATATTATCAGATCGTATCCTTTCAAATTGGATACAAATCTGATCCATTTAAATCAAATCTGTTTTTCAGATCCAAACTGATCCAAAATTCTAAAATAAAAATATCCGAATTCAACAAAATACGACCGGACCTAGGATCGGATTCCGATCCATTTACACCCCTAAAGTTGAGTTTTGCTTAAAGCCCTTTAGTTTCAAAATTTAATTAAAAGAAGTCTAAAATTGTCAAATTGATTTGAATTATTTTTACCATTGTGGGCCCCTTTAACGCCTTGTAACCGTAACATAGGGAAATTAATCAATTATACGGTTTTGCAAGTTCTCCTGGTTTCCTGTCACAATTTCATGGGCTGATGCTTATTAAAAAGGTGGATCCCCACTTTAATTGCTCTTTCATGTTAAAAAGGGGAACAAAATGAAAACGAAAAAAGAACCGCTGAATCTAAGAAATTTCAGTAGAATCAAGAAGATTTTTCTGGACCCACACGTTTTCTGAGGGCCAATCAAATGTACTTACTTTTTTTAGTGGGTGTTCGAATATGATACCAGAACAAACTTATAAACTCATGAAGCGGAATCATAAAAATGTTAAGTAGAGATGCAAACGGATGGGATGGGATTCGAATCAGGGGTATATTCGAATTCGAATTCGATTCGATCTGTTTATGTGTAATTCTGATAGTATTCGATTTGATCTGATTTATTTTCTTTAAAAATTAATAAATTATTAAAAGAAAAAATAAAATATATTAATTTAAATAAAAAAACAAAAAATACTAATATTTTTTAATAATTTTCATTATATATATACAAGTTTTTATAAAAAATAAATAATATAATAAATTTATAAAAATACAATATAAATAATATATTTATAAATAAATAAATAACATATATATTTGTATCTATTTATATTTATAAATATATAACACATTGGATCTGATCTTTTTGGATGGGATAGGGGTGATCCGAATTCTACCAAATAGGATTGGATCTTGAGTCAGATGGAATCATTATCTTATCCATTTTGCACCCCTAATGCTAAGGATCGGTTTGAAAGGAGTACATATTTATAGAGTGCAAAACCTTGTATTTTGTATGTATTTGCATGGTACATGTTTGTATTTGTACTCCTTCCAAACTGAACTAACCAATTGATAAGATTCAAAGGCTAATAAAATGCTAATCAATTTATCAAGATTAAGGGCATAATTGATGTCATGTCTTTCTTGCAGCAGCATAGATCTTTTCTTTTCTTTGATGTTTTAAAAACCGGTTTGGAATCAGAACCATTCTAACCACCGGTTTCTGAGTTGATGGTTCAACCATCTAATTTGAGTGGATGATCCGTTTTGACAAAAAAATTTAAAACAAGTTAAAATAAAAATAGTCAAAACTGTTGAATGGATCAATGATTCGACTGCCCAGATCAACGGATCATTGACCAATTCAACGTTTTTTGGCCAGAGACTGGTTTGGGTAAAACAAAACCAATTCCCTAGACGGTTCCCAGGCTGAACGGTCCAACCATCCGGGCCAACGGAGGTTAGAAAACCTTTCTTTTCATCTATCTTTTCTAATGCAGTTGCCCAACTTTTTTATACAATTTGATAATCTTCTTAATTAAGGCCCTGTTTGGCACGTCTTTCCATGCGGTCTTTCAGCTGCTTACAAGCCAAGAAGATCGAAAATCGGTCTATTTCCGTTTGGCACGTGGAAGATCTCGCCGCCAAAAGACGGGGCACCAAAAAGATGCGGGAAGCCCATTTTGGGCTGATTTCAGGAAGCTCCAAATGAAGCTTCCCGCGTTTTTCGCGTTTTAATTTCGCGCGAAAAGACTCGAAACAACGCATGGAAAGATGCGCATCTGCTAAACGGTCTTCGGGCTGCCTAAATCTTATGTCAAAAGCTCAATGCGTCTATTGACTGTCAGAGCTACAAGAAGATCGTCTCAAAAAGACTTGCCAAACGGGCTCTAAATTGCATCCGATGGAGCTCTTGATTGACTCTGTTTTCTAACTTCGAGTGTAGAAAGCACTATGAGTTATTTACCAAAATAACAAAGAAAGTACTTTGATTTGGCTAAGGGAGTATCTATAGATGCATACGGTGTACTGCATATACTTTGATTACCAAAATGCATTTGAAATGTTGCTTCATAGAACTACAGCATTTCAGCACTGTGTTTTGCTACAGAAGTTTCATAGCAGATCTCCACTCTTTGGTACGCCTGCTCTCTTTTATTATTGCATTTAAATAATTTGTCATATATTTTAGCATGAACAAATGAGTTTATGCATAAAAACAAATGCAATATTATGCCTAAATTATTGTCTGAGGGGAGATTATGGGCAATCGGGATCTCCTGCTCACAAGAATCCTACCCACAGGAGTAATACAGCTGTATATTACGAATATCTCTCTCTGAATGATAACATATAAAAATAAGAAATGTTTCCAATGTGGAACTATAGTGATGTATGGATAGGTATGGGCAGGGCTCTTGTGGGTAAGAGATCCGAACACAATTATGTGTAAGTTCAGATTTGTTAAAAACGAGATTGTAAAACGGTTAGTAACAAAGAAAAAAGAGAATACAAAGAGAAGCCAAACAAGTACAACTAACGGACACATTACCCACGAACAATTAACCAACTCAAAAGATTAGAAACAAATTCCCTATCTTCTAAAAACAGAGTTCAGGTCTCCTATCAACAAGGATCTTATCCACACCTACCCAATAGGACACTACAATGTAAATAGGAAAAGTCTTTCGTTTTTAGTTTTTACATGTCCCCATTCGTAGGAAGATATTCCTAAAATACATCTGTAGTGCCTCATGGGTAGGATTCTTGTGGGTACGATAGATGTGGATAGAAAATCCTGATTGCTAAAAACCCACGAATTGCAGTTGCATGGGCAACTATATTGCCCGACATACAAAAACAAACTTAACCTCCAATTTACCACATTCAAACAGCGCAAACTCATATTGGATCCAATATTGGATTTGGGCTTTGGAAAATGAACCTTTAGTCTGGTTTGGCCTTCTTTTGCTTTGTTGACCTAGGTTGGAACCCCACTGGGCGTTGTTTGGTGTAATGGTAAAATATAAAATCGAAACAGAATGTCAAGATTCAACTATTTTTATGAAACTTAATTCTAACCATGACCTGCTGTGGGCCAGGCCAAAGTGGATCCAACTCTTTATGTTTCCAACAATCAAGCTTGGTCAACAACTTGATTCGCTTCACATTAGACATGTCTGTAGACCATTCCATTCATGAACAACTCCTTCGTCTTCCTCCGGCAATCTTGAATAATACCTCTGAGGTTATAAGGCGGGACTGTCCTTTGTTGCAGGCAAGTGATCACAAGCTTTGAATCTCCCATTTGAAATTACAGGTCAGGTTGTGGTCTTCCCAAGCAGCCCAAGCCTCTACTATATTGATAGTTTTAACTCAAAGATTATAAGCATTTACATCAATGACTTCCCCCAAATGATTTCATG